TAATACATTGAGTTGTATTAGTTCATTTTAAAATATTCTAAGCATATTAGATAAAATAAACGGTTAAATATCTGGTATCAAAACTAAGAAACAAGCAAATTAGGTAAACTATACATGTAGAAGAACGAAGAACTAGGCTAAGCAAACTACACATATTTCAAAACTAACCATTGCGGAACTCCTATATGCAGCAGCACTCCCTTCATAGTCTTTGAGTTCATATTTAACTTCTCCAAGCAAACGATAAACATCAGGATCATTTGGTCTTTCCTGAATATCGAAAAAGATCGTCTTACAAGTAACACCTGGTTTGCAGTGGGGGCACAGGAGGCAGGTGCCCCCATATTCTTTTTACAAATGATTATTTAGCAAGAGAATAGAAAAATTTATAAATAATTTCTTCATTTTTCCCCCTAAAGAAAAGCTGAAATACTTACATGTCTTTGAATATCTAAAAAAAATACTCTGTAAAAGCAAATAGAACAATGTCCAAAGATTGGTTAAATATGTAGTTTGAGGTTTTTCCTACAATTTAACTTATTTAAGTTATAAGTCCAATCAATCAACAAAATTTGAGTGGGTCAATGAAGAAATCCTATCATAACTAGCTTATTAGCTAAGTTAGTAACTTAAACTTAAACTTTCTTTATCATTAAGTTTATTAAAAATTTAAACAAATAACGATCTTTTATTTGCATAACCTTTTCACAAATTTATTTCAAGGAATGTAGTAAAAAACAGTTTCCTTAGGATAGAAGAAAATAAATTGCAAGTGAATGAAACTGAGTTATTTCTTTCTGATTTCTTTTTCTTAACTTCTTTTTTCCAAAAAACTTGAGAACATTGTCTCAAATTTTTAAAATTTTTTCTTAAATGCTACCTTAAAAACATAAGCTGACTGAACTGAAAATTTAAATTTATATATTAAAATATGGTAAGATCTAAAAATAAAAAAGGTATTTTTAATATGTGGAAGATTTTGAATTATATCTTGTTTTGTATTATCAAAAATACAAAAAAAAAGTGTACCATATACTTTAGTAATTTATATGTTTTGCAAGAAAATGCATATGAATATAATATATGAATACAAACATGAAAATGTATGAACAAACCCTTGTCAGATCCTGAAGGAGGGAAGCAGCACGAGAATACTCCCCTAGTTCTGCCAAGGTTACTGCAGCCCCCTGCAAATCAAACAGCTGATACAGGTTAAAAAAGATGAAATTCATTCCCTTCGAACTTGGTATTGTACACAAATAAATCCTTTACCCATGATTATAATTGCTATCATACTTCTTTCACTAATGCGTCTTGGGAAGTGAAAGTTCCTTCTAAAGTGTAAGTTTTTGCTTGAACTTTTGTTCTTAACAGGCTCAACACTGATGATATTGCAAATTTGTTGGTCTAATCGTGCTCTTTCACCAAATATCTATTTAAGTATCTAAGGAAGGGGGGAACCCATACTCATCTTTTCCTTTAGGATGATGTGGCTTGGAATTTGTGGACTAAGCTGTTTAATACTTTTGGGTTGATGTGGGCTGTTCCTTCATCACTGGAATGCTTCATGAGTTTGAATTTGTTTGGAAAGAGGGTGAGAAAGAAAGCTAAAATACTACAAAGTGCACATTGTTTGCAGGCTTGTGAACTCTAGGGCTGGAATGGAACCACAGGATCTTCAAAGGCCGTACCTTTCCTTCCAAATTATGTAAGAATTGATGACATTTCCGCCTCCCTATGGGCTAATCCCCATGGCCTATTTACTGATATTTCCATTTATGTGTTACATAAAAATTGGAGGGGAATAATACACTGATCTTTGTTGGTTTTTTGCTGTTATTACATTCTGACCTTGCATCCGGATGACTTGGAATGATATCTCATCCTCTAGCACTGCACTTTCTCTCTTCTTGTCCTTAATAATTTTTTTTTCTATGGAAAACACAGATTCATTTTTCTATTTTTTTTTTCCTTTTCTATAGAATAAGTGGATATTGAAGGGTGTTGGATTGACTTTTCTTCATTGATTAAAAGTGTGTTGTAGCATTAGAAAAAAAAATACAGATTATTTGTCAAGATATTAGAAGTACTAAAAGCATCAAAACTTTTAGACGAAAGAAATTCCTAGGGCCAGCTTTTCTATAAAGAGCTTTAAGTATTGATATTTTTAGCTCCTTTGACTCATAGCTAGACCACTCATTAAGTAAAAACTTGCAACCCTACCACTTTAGAAATTACAACTCCATCACTTTAATTTTCATTCATTATTTTCAATTAGTGATTAAATACCGCCAGAAATATCCCTTTTGAAAGATATCCCTCCAACCAGATTATCCACAAACCAGCAAAGATATCTCTCTTGGGAGGGATTTCGCATCCTTCCTTACTCCATCACCCTTAATAAGAGGTTGAATAAAGCACTCCATTTAGTGGGGAGTGATCCAGTGAATCTCGAATAGTGCAAACAACTTTGTTCACAAACAACATGCCAGATCACACTGCACAAAGAGGTGACTATGTGTCTCTCCACTATGTTAGCACATAAAACATATTTCAGGAAAAAATTGCTTGATTTAGTTGACATCTATGCCACAACTCATGAGTATTATTAAGTCTGTCAAGAGTTGTTAGTTATACAAACACTCTAAGCTCAAAGGAAACAGGAAACATTAGCAAAAGGAGAGCGAATGCTGCTAAGGTGTTAGGCCAGGTGATGAAAGAAAGATGTACAAGTGTAGAGACTAGAAGATTTCCAAGACAAGCGTCTGCAGTGGGTGTCGGTAAAGGCTGATAGGTTTCTAGTGGATGAAGAAATATGACCAAATCCTGAATCTTTCTATTGCTTTCTATTGGTCAGGATACAAGAGAAATGAAAATCTCAAGCAACAACATCATTCTACATTCTATCAAATGAGGATATAGGTTCATGATGTCTATTGAAGATGTTATAGAGTCGTGGAAATTAAGTAACAAACGGGCTATTATTACCAATCAAGTCATTCTCCCAAAACAAGACTTGTCTACCTTTTCCAATCTTTAATCGAGTCAGGGGCCAAAAAGGTGGTGGACATGTGATATGGCTTCTCATGGAACATTGGAAGATAAGGATCTCCCTACAAGTGCATCTCATCCAACAACCAGCATGAGTACTTTTAATGACCTTGTGCCGCGAAGAATTAGGTTTTTGTGGAATTTACAACAACCATATAGCCAGTAAGGACATTTTTATGCAAAGATTCTATATTCCCAAACCTCTTGTAATTTGGAGTGACAAAACTCCCACTTTACTAGATGATTCTTAAATCCATCTCGTAGTATCTACCTATAAAAATCTCTCCATACATCTCGAGAGTCTCTCTACCAAACCAGTAGAAATTATAAAAAGGGATTAGGAATACAATGGTTTGCAAGACAAACACGTTTGAATAAGGCTGACACGACCTCCCAATGGAAATATCTCCCTCTCCAACATTTTTACCTCTTGGACATTTTGCTAACCACCCCTCCAAAATGATGTCCTCTTTGGATTACCTTGTAATGGAACCCTAGTAGACAATTGGCAATGAGAGTTTGGTACAACCAATCATCATGGATAATTCCCTCAATGTCTCCTCCTCCATGTTAAATCTCACCATCCCAATCTTTGCAAGGTTTACACGTAGACCAAATACAAGTTCAAAAATTTGCACTTGACTAAGGGCATTGGGAATCAAGCTATTATTGTGAAGCAAACTACAAGTGAGACACCTCTTTTCTATCCTCTACCGAATCCAAATCCTGGTTTTACCCATCTCTTCATGCCCCATGCAACATCCTACTCAATACATCCACGAAATGCTATAAACCACTCTTGAAGCTGCCCATTAAACACTGAAGCAAATGAGGCTGCTGTAGCACATCTATTGATCATTTAGCCCAACGTTTCTCAGAACCCTTCATTTCCAGTACTTTGAATAAAAACTTCCAACTTACATGCTCATATACTTTTTCAAAGTCTAATTTAGGGGTCAATCCTGGTTTCTTGGATTTGTTAATTTATTTTAGTACCTCATTCGCCACAAGAGAGGCATCAAGGATTTTCTATCCTTAGATAAATGCACTCTGATTTAGTGATACTGTGTCATCTAAGAAACCTCACTAAGCCTTAAGTATAGCATTTTAGAGATTATCAGTGGATATTAGACACTAAGTTAATTGGGTGGTAATCCGAGAGTCTCTTGGACCCATCCTTGAACCAGGGTTATGAAAGTTGAGTTCATTCCTCTTCTGACTACTCCATTCAAATAGAATTCCTCTAACATCTGCATGAGGTTCGCCCTCACAAAATTCTGACATGTTTGATAGAACTCTATAGAAAACCATTTGGACCTAGTGCCTTATTAGCACCCATGTCGGACTCTAACCACTTCACTTTCCCTATTGTAATCGGCATCCAGCCAATTCCATTTATAAATGGTCTATGCTCCTTATCTTTAGTGACCATCGTTTTGTAAAAGTGTGTGATCTTTCTCCCCATGCTCTACTGTTTTCTATATCTCTATTTCCCAGCTTTAGTTCCTTGATAACATTATTTCTCCATCAAACATTGACTACTTTATGGGAATTTGCATCTCATTCCTTCATCCATTTCATTTGCACTTTTTCCACCAGCTTCTTTCCTCCAGTGCATCGTCTTCCAAACTTGTACGCTCTGAAACCTTCTATCCAAATTACTCAGTCCTTCCATTAATCTTGCTTTTCTCATGCTAGCATTACCCAAAACATCCTTAGTCCAAGTTCTTAATCTTTCTTTTCAGGTATTGCAAATCTCTTCATGAATTTATATCCTTCTCATTCCTCCTACGACCTTCCCACACTCCCTCACTCTTGTTTTAGAATCATAATATTGCAATCATTTGTTCTCAAATCAGAACAGAGTGGGGCCGCATTGGACTCGTTGGGATTCAGCCAATTATATATAAAAATTATTTACCGAAAAAAGAACTATTTCCCATTTAATAACATTAATTATTTTTTGTAGAATATAAACAACTAATGTTATATAGAAATTGATAAAATATTTCAACGATGAGAAAGAAAGGGGTAGCCAAACAAGAGATACGGAAGAAGAATATTGATCTTATTATCCATCACAGTTACATCCTTTTACTTATGTATATATACGTGCTTTTACTATAGGAAACAAGGTATACAGTGATAAAGAATAGCACCGGTAAATGATATGGCTCTAATACAGGATAAAGTTTAGATAAGGATAAACTTTGATAAAAATCAATGTTTAATAATAAAAAAGTAAAATTATTATGTAATGGAAATTTATAATTAAATTTTTTGTTTATTAAATTTACAACATCTGAATATATGTAGGAGAAGGTTAGAGAGAGTTCTTGTAGAAAACAAAATACAAATCAGTCTCATAAAAGGAAAAAATCTTCTAGTTATGGAAGTTTATTATGATTCTACTTTATAGGGAGAATTCTCTAAAGATACCAATCTAGATAGGAATTAGACTTCTACAAAAAGTTGGATTCCTACACTCCCCTCAAAATGGTTTAAAGATGTTGAGTAGACTAAACTTAGAATTCAATTCTTCAAAAGTCTTCCTATGTAATACCTTGCTGAAAATATCAGCAGTTTGATGGCAAAATTAAATGTGTCACAAGGATAGTGCTCTTTACTCCATTTTCTCTTTAACAAAGTGTCTATCAATCTTCACATGCTTACTTTGATCATGATGAACTAGCATCTTTATTGTACTTATTGTGAATTGATCGTCATATAATACTTCCATAGACTCTATAGAGAGAATTCTCAATTCACCTAGTACCCTTTATAGCCATATTTCTTCACAATACCATATACTAAAGCTCTCAACTCAGTCTCAATACTATTTCTTGGTACTACTGACTGCTTTTTGCTTCTTTAAGTAACTAGATTTCCCCAAACACATGTACAATATTCAAATGTGGATCTTATATCACTTATAAAACTAAGCCATTTGCATCAGTATATATTTTAATTTTCTTGTTTCTATTTTTCTTGAAAAAATAGTCTTTCTCCAATAATCATTTTTAAATACTTGAGAATCCGAAATATTACCTCCATAAGTTCTTTAGTTAAGCTATTCATGACTTAACTTACCACATTGATTGCAAACTTAATATGTGATCTGGTACTGAGAGGTAAATCAATTTATCCACTAGATATTGATATCTTTTTTTATCAACTAGAGTACTATTAAGTTTACTTCTCAGTTTAATGTTAGGATCCATGAGTGTGTCTGCGGGCTTGCATCCAAACATTCTAATCTCTTTTAGAAGTTCCAACATATATTTTCACTGAAAAACTGAGATTCCTTTTCTTGATTTACCAATTTTCATTTATAAGAAATATTTTAGATTTCCTAGGTTTTCAATTCAAATTCTTAGTTAAGACCTTTTTTAATCTGTCTATCTCATTTGTGTCATCCCCTATAATATTTGACAAACATAATATGATCTATTTGACATTGATATATCCAAACATCTTGATTGCCTTAGTGAATTTATCGATCTTAGAGATTGTTTGAATCCATATGAGGAGTTTTTGAGTCTGCAGACATTTTTGTTAGTGACTTGACTTTCAAAACTTGACGGTACTTTCATATAGACTTCTTTCTCCAATTCTTCATTAAGATAAATATTTTTTACATTTATTTAGAATATTGACCAATCTAGATTAGCAGGTAGGGACATTAGTGTCTGAACTATTTTAAGATTTGTTATTGGTGCAAATGTCTCATAATAATCAATTGCATAAGACTGAATGAAGCCTTTGACTATTAATCAAGTTCTAAATCTGTTGATATTACCATCAACATTATATTTGATAATGAACACCCATTTACAATCAACTAGGCATTTCTCAAGTGGTAATTTTGCTATTTGCCAAAGCCTAATGCTTGGATTTCCTCTATAACTGCAGTTTTCTATTCAAGTACTTTTAATACTTTATTTATTGTTCTTGATATTTGTATTTTACCAATATTATTATCAAATGTCTAGTGAATTGATGGCATACCTTTGTATGAAACAAAATTGTGAATTGGAAGATCAGCGCATGCTCTTTTTTGTTTTCTTAAGGCAAGCATGCGAATTATTAAGGGAGAGACCTAAACTTTGATTAACCTAGCATTCAATGATGTTTGATTTTGATTCGAATTGGATTCATGACTCTTTTTTTTATTCTTGTTCCTTCTAGTGTAAGCCCAAAGTTCAGGATTTTCAATGCGGTAAGTAGGTTCAAGTCTAGGTGTTTCATCTCGATCGACTTATTCTAGAAACTGAATAGGTTCAGTGCTAGAGTCCAAAATTAGGATTCTTGGGTATTCTTCTCCCCTCGAATACCAATTTTCTAGTGTGTTTAGTCTTTGTGAAAGGTGACATCTAAGAAGTTATGGAAATCCGGTGATTGATGACTAATATTCATCAAACCTAACAAAAATGCATTTTATTGATTTGAGGTCTAGTTTTCTGCTATGATGGTTATGTATGTGAACAAAGACTGAACAACCAAAGACTTTAATAAGTAGGATAGATAGAAATCGAGTGGTAGGAACATATTACAGCATAATATGTGAACAAAGACTGAACAACCAAAGACTTCAATAAGTAGGATAGATAGAAGTCGAGTGGTAGGAACATATTACAGCATAACTTAGTAGAATGTTTGAAACTCAAAGATCTGGGAAAACATTTTATTAATACGGTAAGTTGTAGTTAGAACAGTTTCTCACTAGAATAATTTTAAAACTTGAGTTGTGAACATAAGGGACAAACATCTACCGAAAGATGTCAATTACTTCATTCGGCTATGTCACTCTATTGAGGGGTATCAACACATGAACTTTCATGAACAATCCTCTGTTTTTAAAGATACATATTCAAATTTTTTTCAAAGTATTCTTTTGCATTATCTAATCCGAATGAAGGTTCCAGGCAGCCAAAACAGAGTTTTGCTCAATAGTAGGGCTTGTGAATCCATCTATCAACATTACCTTCCTTTTGTTTTCTTCTTTCCTTACTTCAAGAAATACATAACCGAATATCAAATAATAGTTTCATTCAGAGTATTCTTTCCCGGACTTCATCCAGATTTTTATTCAATCATATGAGAAATTTGAAAATTCTTTTTCTTTCTGAAATTTCTCTTTATCGTTTTCTTCATCATCAAACAACTCCACACAAGTTTCTTAAACACATTGAACCATTACCAGTGACGAGTAAGCAATCGTAGTACTAGATTACAGATAGATCTCCTTATCATAGGTTGTGGAGAGTAGATTCAACAACAAAAATTTCTTATGTATTTTCTTTGCTTGAGTAGAACTCCTCGGCTGCTTCTCAAATGCATAGTTATCTTGTAAAATAAGAAATTCGCACCAATATTACTTGTATAAAGTTAATCACCCACGAAATAACTAGATTATTCTCAGTATTCCGAGTTTGGAACTTTAAGTCTTTGGTGCTCGGTTGGGTAACTTCTCTAGTGAGGTATTCTCCTCTCTGTCTTTTGCAAATAAACATCTTGACTGATTGAGATTATTAATATAGTTACTTTCGTTTTAGTTTATGGTTGGTGATTGAAATCTGTCTATTCAGGTAGTTTCACAGAAATAATTTCATCATGCCAAGATATGACTTCAAATAAGTTACTAGTTCTTGTTGTGGTCATTCTGTCTTGTAATTAAATTTTCTATTTATTGAATTTTTATTTATGATACTTAATTTATAATATCTTTATATATATAGGAGAAGATTAGATAGAATTTTAGTAGAAAACTAACTATTAAGTCAGTTTTATAAAAGGAAAAGATTTCCTAATTATAGAAGTCGACTATGATTTTACTACATAGGGAAATTTTCATAAAAATATCAATTTGTATAAGAATTGAACTTCTAGAAGAAACCAGATTCCTGCAAGTAATAAACTTTATTCAGAATTATTTTAAAATAATATTTTTTTGAAAAAATAACAATTTTAAATAATTTTTAATTAAAAGAATAAAATTTTCTTTCTATTCATTGTTCTAAGGCGCTCCTAATCTTACAAAACACTTAATAGGATTTTAATGTCAAAGTCAAAAAATGAAAGTCAGATTTCCAAACCATATACAAGCTATGTTTTGGAACCAAGTTCCATATGGGCTTAAAGAGCCAAAAGAAATCCATATAGCTTCTTAGAAACAGAGAAGAAGAGAGTACATCAATGAAGGACAAGAGTTCCTCCTGAATAAAAAAAATTAAATAAAAAAAGAGAACAAAAGAAAATCAATATAGAACCAAACACAATCTCTTTGTAAAATTGACAAAGAGTATCCCTATAATTTGGCACATGGGACTGGCTGTGGAAATCTCGCATTAACACGTCAAAATGTGTTTTTCATACTACGAGTATCATCAAAAACCTGGCTCAACATCTAGTAATTTGCATCTTTACAACTCACCTCAAGTGCAGATGTATCTTTTGGCGAATCGCTTAAAATTACCTCAAATTGCTTAAGCCTATTCTGCAACAAATTAAAGAACAAAGGCCTTATTATTGGATAAAAGAAAAATATATATATTACAAATGCTGGACGCATAGCTAAACTGAGTGCATTAGAATGAAAGACATGCTGAAATATTCAGAATTAAATAGAAGCATGTGGAACGAAAAATATGTTCCATTTGCTCCTTACTGATACCAAAGTGGAAAAAGGAAAAGATAGCTTTGTGAAGGAAATAAATGTTTTGAATCCCCCATCAAAACAACTGAAGTAGTAAGCCCTGTCGTTTGGGAAGTGACACACATGAACATGCCAAAACTATATTATACGAAGGAGCATAATACCATGAAAAACTTTTCCAACAAACTAAAATTGTAAATAAAAGGCTATAGACAAACAAGAAGCACACTGCTCCAATCAGGCCAATAAAATGTCTTTCTTTGCTATTTTTATTTCCTGAAAACATTTTTTATTTACATTTTCTTAAGAAAATCTATTCTATTCAGGATTACTTGTGATTTGAGACACTAGATTTCTGAGTATGGTAGACACTGCTATCTATGGGGCTTAAATTGCTTCTTTGGAATTCATCTGTTTGACCTTTAGCTTTCCAATGCTCAATATACATAGTTGCTCTAGGGGTAATGTCATATCTTCCAGTATTTATAATTTCTAGGTTATGGATGAGTAGGTTGATAGCTTCCTGAATTTGTTTCAATATATCTGTTTATGATCATTTTTTATCTTTCTAGCATCAAGACACCTAAAGTGGGGTCCGAGCCCATTCTATTCCGCATATATAGGATTCAAAATATCCATCTTCCCAAGTAGATGAGGAAACTGAAATTTATCAAGGAGAAACTGAATGAGGAAACCAAAATATATCAAGGAGAAACTCAAAGTACCGAGCAAGGAGGTTTTTGACTATATTAGGGTTAGAAAGCATGATCCTCTCGATCAAATAAGAATCTTAGATAGGCAAGAAGTAGAAATGGTTTAACAGAAATTTAACTTACACTCCTTGCACTTTGAGTAGGAGAAAAATTGCTGAAAGAGGGGATTTGCTGAAATTGGTTTAGTAATTTCTAAAAGATGGTCAAGTCTTTGCATAAAGTTCTCTACTTTTGCATTACTTTTATTTATTTCTTTGTCTACGATCTTCATTGATAAAGGAACCCAATGGATCAAAGGGTTGAATTCCTTGTGAAAAGAAAATTTGTATGTCATCAGTCAGGGGAAGGGGCTGAGACAACAAGTAAGAAATGAGGAAAACTAATGTATCAGTCTTATGAGATCTTGCTGGAATAGAAGGAAATTGAATGGCTGAGAAACAACATACACACCGTGTTACCACAGGGCATAATCGACTCTCTAGTGTTTCGGCTGGCAAAGGGATATTTGCTGGCAGAGGGTATTTGCTGGCAGAAGTGAGCCAAAGAAGAGGGAGATTTCTGGTGCTGTCACACTTTGAGGGTGATCAATGGAAGAACAAACTGTGTTTGCCATAAGAAAGATGCAGTGTGGACTGGAGGAAGATTGAGGATGTGCTGGCTAGATTTGGTGGAAAAATAGAACATAGAGTAAAGGCGCAGCTGATTTGGGACGCCTGGGAAAATCCACTATGTCGGGTAAAAGCAGGTGAGAGAAAAACAGAAGAGGACATTGCTGGGCATTAGAAAACATTGCAGTAAACACCCTATGTCTAACGTTGTTTCCTATGACTCTCTATCTCCAACCTATAAAGTCTTTATTTTATCTGTTTTCTTTGTATCTATTCCACAGGATTAAGGAAAAACATTAGGAGATCACAAATAAAAGGAAACCATGATTGAAAAAATGAAAATTTTGACAAAAAAATAAAACATGAAAACTTATTTCATCTCCACAAGAAAAGAAGATGGTTGGTTGCAAATGGGTATTTAATGTGAAACACAAAACATACGGGTCAATTGAAAGGTACAAAGTTAGACTGGTAGATAAAATGTTTACTTAGATCTATGGAGTTGAATATTAGTTGACATTTGTGCATGTCATGAAAATGAAGACAATCAAAGTATTATTGTCTTGTGCAGCTGACCGTAATTGGGACTTACAATAGTTTAATGTCAAAAATGTCTTCCTCCATGAAGACTTAGAGAAAGAGGCATACATGAAATTCTCCCTAAATTTGAAAATGAAAGAACACAAGAAATGGTTTGCAAATTAAAGAATGCTTTATATGGGTTGAAGCAGTCTACAAGAGCATGGTTTGAAAGATTTAGAAGATATATAATCTCTTCTGGATATCAACAAACTAATGCTGACCATACCCTATTTATCAATCTCATTATCTATGTAAATGATATTGTGGTGACTGGAGATGATACAAAGAAGATGACTCAATTGAAAGAACCTGCTGCTCAAGAGTTTGAAATAAACAATTTAAGAAAATCACAATATTTTTTAAGAATTAAAGTTGTCAGATCTAAAAAAAAATCTTCATTTATCAAAAAAAGTATATCCTACACATGTTAGAAGATACTGGTATGACAGATTGCAAGCCAAAAGAATCTCTCATTGAAAGTAATCACAAACTACAAGCAGCTAGTGGTACATCAGTTGAATTTGATATATCAAAAATTAGTTGGAAGACTCATTTATCTCTCACATACCAGACCTGATACAGTATATACAGTTAACTTGGTGAGTCAATACATGCATGACCCTTACGAGACTCATTTACATGCTCTTTTTCGCATATTACGATACCTAAAATGTACACCAAGAAAAAGTCTGTTTTTCTCTAAAAATGATCATCTTAAGATATAATAGTATTTAAGATGCCAATTGTGTTAGATCTCCGCATGATAGAAGATCAACTACCAATTACTGCATACTCATAGGAGGTAACTTGGTTGCATGGAAAAGGAAAAAACAGAGTGTAGTTGTTTGTTCTAGTGCTGAAGCAAAATATAGAATAATGGCTCAAAAAGTATTTAAATTATTATGGTTGCAAAAGCTAATGAAAGAATTAAAACTACTTAAAAAAGAGACTTAATCCTTATTTTGTGATAATAAAGCAGTCATTATCATTGCCCATAATCAAATTCAATATGACCAGACAAAGTACATCGAGATTGATCGACATTTCATAAAAGAGAAAGCAGTTGATGACTCTTTATGCCCATATCATGTGTCTTCTAGGGAACAAGTGGCAAATGTCTTCACTAAAAGACTTTACAACAACTTTTTTCATAACTTATTTACAAGTTAAACATGTGTGATATTTTTGTACCAACTTAAGGGGGAGCGTTGACTAAAATATTATGTTGTTCAATTCATTGAGATATTTTTTCCTGTATAAACCTTCCTGTAATCCTTTCAGAATGATATAATTAGTTATAATCAATTAGAATCCCTACTATAATATTAATTTTCTTATCTGTAGGTAGAAATTCTGTATATATACTCCAATTATAACAACATAAGGAGTATTATAAAATAAAGTTAATACTTTTCTTCCAAAATCTTCACATTGAAATTGAGGTTCTTGAACGAATTTCATAACTTTCCCAATTTTTTATTCGCCATGAGAGATGTGTCAATATTTTAGCTATTTCCCTTCCCCTTCCAAATCTCCCGTCCCCCTCCCTTCCACCACATGCAGAAGAAAAGCTCTTTAATTGATGGAAATTGTCTTTCAGCAACTTCCCCAGTCTGAAAGAAAGCCCTCTAGTAATTATCTTACAACTACTAGTGACCAAACTAATAAGACAGTAGCCGGTAACTTTTCTTCCAAGGCAGACTACTGACAAAGGAAATGGTTCTGTCTGCTAGGATCTTAAGTACAAACATAATATGATTTCTTTTAATCTAACCCTCCTCTATTACCATCTCAAAGAAAATACTGTAACATTATTGTGTATTGGCAAGTATACATGAGAATTTGCAAGGTCCTTATGACAAGAAAAGAAAAATTAAGAACATAGAAAAAATCACCAAATAGGAAAAGAATAAAGAGGAAAAAATTAAAGAGGAAGGCATCCTCTTTTACTCTTAAGACATATTGATATTTAAAACGAATATGCGAAAAAAAAAGGACTAAAGAATAAATCACCAGAAAACTATGGTAAAATAAATTACCGAGCATTCACGAGTATTACCTGAAGAATAGACTTCTCCTTTTCTGAAATTTTATTATTAGCCACTGATGCATCCTCGGTGGGAATGAAACTGGAAGGTAGGAAAACATGTGCGTCTCAAGAGAAGAGACAGTAAAACTGAAGTTTTAGAAAACAGAATAACTGACAAAATAGGTTATCATATTCCTACACCCATGAGAATGTATTTCTATGATAATACAACAATCCTAATTAGCTCCTAATTATCACTAGATACAACAGTCGAGAAAAACAATGATGACAGATAACTTCCTGAAATATATAGAATAGTATCAACCTCCTATAGTATCATATCCCGAAATGGGTGTTGTGTCCCTACACCCATGTCTCACCTCTTCTGAATACAGCTAGGTAAACATAATAGGTGTCTTATTCCTACTTTGTCACCTCTTCTGTATACAGCTAACCAAGAATGTTTTGCTTCCACGGAAAATGTTGCCCTAAATCCACCATTGAGGCTCATAATAATCGAAAAAGATTGTTAGGTTATCTCTTATGATCCATTAAAACTTGTTTGAGCATAGATTCTCATGTAGAATTCTATGCAACTTTAGTCATCATGGTGGTCAAGAAGGAAATGGTGAGATTATGTTGTTTATATTATAATCGAGCAGTATAATATTGTTTATATTGTATCCAAGCAGTAGGTTGTAGATTATGAAGAACTAGAAAAGAAGACCATATAAATTTAGAGCTTATCAACTATCTTAAAAGCTGGGAGAGGATGAAGAAACCTTTAATGCACTAAAACAAACCTTCCAGAGGGAAGAAAATCTCCAAGAGCAAAAACAAGACCAAAGACCAAAACTGCTACACCAACTCCTATCTATCAAATACAACATGTTTATGATGTTAGTAGAGACAACAGAAATTTTTCCTTTTAAAGTAATTATACAACATTGTTTCTCAGAAAAAAAAAAAAAGAGAAATCTTCAGGAAAAAAAATATTATGAAAGAATAATCATAAATGCAAAGCTTTTACCTTCGTACCAAGCCCAATCGTTTTCCTATCTGACTCAACTGGTGCATCATAGTCAATCACACCAAAGTCTTTAACTTCTGTTTTTTTCTGGTCACGTGCTGATCTGAGTTTTCCACAGAAGGAATGACTTCATGTAAATGGATACCAAGCATAATGGACAAATAATTGAAAAGCAGATTAAGTCACTGACTAGAAAAAACTTAAGTTCAAAAATACGTATGTAACCCACGTGCAGGCACCAGATCTCTCTATGTTTTGAATCAATCATATACAAGCACAGAGAGAGGTAACTATAAAAATATCAAAAAGAAAAGTCTAAAGAGTGACCTTAATATTCCATTTTCTGAAAGAGCAAAGTTAAAGCTAAAGACAGTCGTGCTCTTTAAATCTAAAGTGTTCAACTACTGGCGTGCTGTTGAATCCAGTAGCATTGATTAAAAATTTTACATGATTTCTTCTTATAAGAAAGATTGTACACAAAGCAGAAACTAACAACTAATACAGTCTTCCTGTGACTTTCTTTTATAGCCTAGAATATCTAAAAGAATGAGTACATTAATTCTCCAAATCTCTCAACGAATCTGGTAGAAATTAATTCCCAGATGTGGTGGAAATCAATTCCCTAAATCTCTCAACAATCACCCTCAAGCTAACTTAAAGATGTGTTTTTATTGCCAACTTGGCGATTTTCTTGTCAAATTGTTTCTTTAGCAGTCCCTTTGTAAGTATATCTGCAATTTAATATCGTTGTTGGGATGTAGGGCATAGAAATCAGCCTATTCTCAATCTTCAAAGGACTATTTCTTCAAGAAATAGAAATTGAACTACTACTACTAAGACCTTAAGAAGTTGTATGTCATTATAGTAATAAAGACCACCTCCCATCCTAGCAATGCCGATCATCCTGCACAAGTTCCGGACCTGAAATGGACAATAAGGTTCATGAAAATGACACGACCAATTATAATTTTACAAAGATTGTACCAACCCGGATTCACCAAGTAGACATATGTTCTGATATCATTTATAATAAACTTAACTTAAGCACCACTATCCCAATAATTTTTTAGACTCCTGTTACTGGCTTTCAAAAGTTCAAGTCAAACTTATTGAGAACGTATGAGTTGAGCTCTTATATAACTCAACTACCACATATCTTTACGATACAGGATTCCTGTCTAATAATTATAGTTACTACTTGATTGTACCATAGAGACATTAGGAATATCAGATGATGAATTGGATTTTGGCAATTGAAAAAGTTGTTCCATCTACTCTTTACTGAAGGAATTGTTTAGAGCTGATTCAACCTCAATTGTTTAGGATATGCACAACCAGGTTTGTCACAAGCGCTTGGTTTGCTGCTTTTCCAGTTGACCGGCTTGCCATGTATCTACCAACAGGTTTCTCATGTTTGATAGGGTTTGTTGCAATAGCTACACCAGATCTTTGGAAAATTATCCTTTCTCCATCGATGAGAAAATTCCCACATATGATAGCAGTACTTGTAGCCAAAGCTCTAAATTGAAGCAGTGGGACTCCTGTCCCGAGAATAACAATTTGGTAGCCTACCTACCTTCAAACTTCTTAGAGGACTTCTCTAAATGGTGGCAGAGGTTGTGTACCAATGATTTGTCCCCTTCATCAAACACAATGTTTAAGCTGGCCAAGAATTTAAAGGTACGATTATCCTCTATTAACTTCTTTTAGTGGTTGTAGTCTTTAGTGGATTTCCATCCGTAGTCATTGAAATAGAGTCTGAGTCTTGCAATAGATGTTCAGTAGAGTAAATACTGGTCATATTGTTATTGCATCTGTAATTTCAAAATTATCAAGGTTAATTTTATAAATCTGAGATTAATTACCTAACCAAATTATGTTTAATTAACATTTGCTCAAAGTTCTTTATCGTAGTATAACATTTTTAGTTGATAATGATTTCTTCCACCATGGAATTCACAAACCAAGACATCCCCATGGAATTTTCTGCATCCGAGAGTGTAAACATGGGATCCTCTCATACTGGCACCTTAGAATCACCAGTTATATAGCCAAACTTCCCTTCCTCCTAGGAGTGGATGTGCAAGGATTATAACCAGTGCACCGGTTGCTTACGAGTTGTTGTGATTTGGACTGATAGGGCATCTGAAATGTGTGGTCCTGGGTTTTTGGTTGTGGAGGATGTCACAATAGGTGCAGACTCAAACGTAATGTTAAACATGATTTTGGTTTTTTTTTTATGTGTGGTTGCGATGGTGATTGCTGCAAGCTAAGAGATTCTTCATTTTTTCTTTTTAAGTTATCGATGCTTTGATACCATCTCTAATTGACTAAATTTAAAATAAATTGAAAAGCTTTACACGATTTCCTCTTACAAGAAATATTTTACACAAAACATGGAAACTAACAAGTAATCACAGCCTACCTTTGACAATATATTATAGCCTAAAATATTTACAGAATCTGCATACTAAATCTGTAAAATCTTTCAACAAATCTGCCAACAAATATGCATAAAATTAATTTCCGAAATCTACTAGAAATTAATCCTCAAGTCTGCAGGAAACTAATCCCCAAATTAGCTGGAATTAACTCCCAAATCTGCTTAAATTAATTTAAAATTCAATTTAAAAATCTATCAGAAATTAATTTCCCAAATATCTCAACAAGTACAAAGATTAAGAATATGTGGAGTGCAAATAGCACCTTGGCCTTTGCTACATTGTTTCATGGAAAAGAAGTAGATAGGAGATGAAGAGAAATATACTGGGGGACGACTACGAGTCCACCAAAAAGAGTAAATAAAATTAATGATAACAGAAAAAGAGGGAGATGGCTGAAATCGAAAATAATCAATAAAGAACAGTTAGTTGATCTCTATTCAAAATAGATAGCGAAGCAACCTTCTAGACCCCATTCAGCTTAACACAAATATGTGATTTGCAAGACACTCCACTGAAATGATGAGGTCAGACAACTGAGGATATAAGATTCATGCATACCTGTGTACCACAGTTCTGAACAGAGGTATTACGTTCTTTAAAAATTTATGTAAGGCTTTTATGTTTCAATTTTTTGAGAAGATCAAAAGAAAGATTTTTTTTATATACAAGGATATTGCTCAATATAATTTCTTTTGGATGCTTCTTTCTTTTTACACAAAAAAGAACAAGCAACCATTATTAACTATTTGTTTGATATACAAAGTTGTAAACAAATAACCACCACATATGATGGCATTCCCACATCCAAGTTGCAAAAGGTAAAGCATAGACACCCATCATCCATAATCCACTGTGGTAATCTGGATGTGTCTAACAACAGAAAATGAAGATGATTGTACAAGTTTGCAGCGTATAAAATGAATGCAAAACTAATGTAGCATTACCTTCTAACTGCTTCTAGCCGTTCTTCAAAATCAATGTCCAAGGAGTTGTTAGATTTTCCAGCAGATTGAGAACTCAATCCAGGTGCTTCTACAAGTGTTTCCATACAATGCAACAGAACGAAAACCAGAAACAAGTGATTTACCCTGCTCATTGAACAAAACCTTGAACAAGAATTATTGAAATAGGACATTAATTTTATGTCAACAATAACAGAAACAACAGGTAATCCCAGAATTGGCCCAGCAAACAGAAACTAATGCAAATCCAAGGGAAAAGGATGCTAGAGTTAAAGCAAGCTGAAGATGAAACTGCTGGAAACAGGATATTTTTAAATTTTATGTCAACAATAACAAGAACTAAAGCTAGTCTCAGCATTGGTCTAGCAAACTGAACATGTTGCAGAGCCAGAAGAAAGGATTGCTAAAGTTAAATTAATTTGAGGTGTAACTGTTGGAAACTGAATACTGCACCATTAAGAAAAACAGCCCAAAATCCTATACATAAAAGACTAAACAACTGCTGGACAAGAAATATAAAGAATCAAAAGCAATGGACATTATATTAGTAGTACATAATCAGTATTTTAAAACCCAAAAAAAAAAAAAGAAAGAAGGAATGAAAAAAGTGTCCCTACTTAGGAAATTTGACATGACGATCAATTCCTAAGATCTGAAGATTCTTAAAAATTAGGATCACTTAATCCAAATAATAAATAGAGAAGAAACATGGGCTTGTACAGGAAATCCTAGCTACAAAAACGAATAGGTAGATATTACAATATCTCGAAATAAATTAGTAGATTTCCAAATACTCCCCTCAAGCTGGTGGCTAAGTTCCTGTTTGGCCAAACTCCCGTTTCTGGCAGGTGAGGGAGCAGATGTGTTAGAGGGAGTTCAAGTCAGGCCAGGTGAGAGAATTTAGGCCACGCCAGGGCAGGGACTTCAGGCAGAATGGAAGCCCAAACCGCAACTATGGGAGACTGAGTTGTTGCAGCGGCACAAAGGAAGCTAGAGAGAGGTGAAGGAGGAAGAGAACTAGCCAGAAACAGAAAACACATCAGGATAGAAGGAAGAAATGGCGGAGGAGGAACCAGTGGCAGGCAGAAATTAACACCAGTGTACCCACCAACACTGAAACTGACAGGTCTACCGAAACCGACAGGTCTACCAAAACCGAGGTCTGCCATAGGGAAACAAAAAAAGTGTCCTAGAGAGAAATGGTAGTGCAAGAGAAGATGAAGTGGAGAACCAATTGCGGCGATGGATATTTGAGTCAGTGGGAGGAGCTGAATTGCTTTCCAAGTAAAGTTGGTGTTGGTTCTGGTCATAAGGGTCGGAAGGGATGAACTGAAGTAAGAGGAGGAAATGAACGGTTTGGATAAGTCGACATTGGAGAACAACATTGCCAAGTACAAGCAAAGAAATTATCAGATATAAAGAATCAATTCACCAGGGTACTACAAAAGGAGGAAAGGAGTTGGAGAAAGAAGGTAGATTAAAGGGGTAAAGGCAGAGGATGCTAATATAAGATTGTATCACAAGGTAGTAAATGGTCGAAGGAGGAATAGTGTAACTAATAAGCTGGAGATGGAAAGCAGTCATTGAGTGGGAGAAGGAAATCATTGGCAGAGAAATCACCAACTTTTATTGGAAGTTATATAATGAGGATAAGGAGTCCCAAGTGTCCTTAGAGGGGGTGGAATGGAAGCCAATTTTTAATCTAAAAGCTGAGTGATCGAAGAGACTGTTCTAAGAAGAGGAGTTTAAGAAAGCTATTTGAACTTTGGGCATTGACAAAGCTCCTGGACCGAATGGCTTTTCTATAGCATTCTTTTAAGCATGTTGTAGTATCTTTAAAGAGGATCTAATGAAGGTACTTGAGGAATTCTACCTCAATGGGATCAGGCGCAAAAGTATGAACTCGACCTTTATCAGGCCCATATCTTAAAAAAGATTAAAAAACATGTTTCTGATTATTCCCTTATTATCTATCATAAATTGATAATAACTTCACCAGCGTCTACAATATCATTATAAATTGTTATCTTTAAGACTGAGTTAGGTTTTCAACTATATAACTTGACCAAAACATAACGTTTTATGGGTGGCCAATAAATTCTAGATGTCCCTCTTATAGGAAACAAAGTAAAGGAGTATATACATAAAGTAAAACAAGAAGGATCGATTCTTATGTTATATTTTGAGAAGGCATATGGTAGGATGAATTGAAATTTTGTTGAGAAAGTGATGTAGGAAGGAGTTCAGAGGATGATGGAGAAGATGGATGAAAGGGTGTTTATCTGTCCGTATCTTTTGCTAATGTTGTAAGTGTCAAGCCACAAGAGTGATTTGCAGGTTTCAGAGCCATTAGGGTCGGGATCCTCTCTCACAGTTTCTTTTTATCCTGGTAGTGGATGTGTTAAGAAAGATTTTAGCTAGGGGTTCGAAGAGAGGTTTATTAGAAGGTTCTATTATTGGAGATGATAAAAAAAATGTATCGCACCTTTATTCTGCAGTTGACAAATTTTTGTTCCTATCCCATGATGATAGATTGATAAAAAAATCACTCACGATTGCTCAAGTTTCGAGCACATCTAAGGATTGGTTGGAATAAATGCAGTGGATGAAACCGTGATCAACCTAGCAGAGGCAATAGGTTTTTCTAAGTTAGCATGGCTGACAACATATTTAGGTGTTCTGTTGGATCTCTAACAAACAAATAAATATTCATAATTATAAATATAAAATACATCATAATTAACTAAACATCTCTTAGTATTGAAATACTTTAATTCTAGGTCGCCCGTTCTACATCACTTTTGTAGTTGCCCGATTCATCAATCAACTTTATATTTTAATCCTCCTAAAGCCACAGTAGTCTGCATCTTTACCTACAAAAGATTTATCCCAGTACTATGACCTGCGCTAGTTCCTTTCTTGGCAAAGTGCTTTATTTATGGATTTCTCTCTATTTCCTTTAACAACTCCTCTCTTTTTAAAAAATTCTCAAAGCAGCCTTGCTCCTGACCTTCATCTTCTCTCTGGCATGCATTAGCTCTTTCCTTTGTTTAAATAGATAATCCGTCTATTTGAGTCTCTCCCCAAATGTCCTCACCAATTGCTTGAACCGAAAATCTTGAGCCATATATTTCCAAACACAAAGGGGATACAAACTCATTAGAAATCCTCTACTCCTAGGCATGTTGGCTGATAGTTAACCAACCCCGAGAAATTTTTCTAGAGCAGACTAGAGTACTGCTCTTGTCAAAATTCTAAGTACCAAAATTATTTATATAAAGCAAGTAAAAATGTGAGCTAAATTACTTACGGATAGGTGAAGAACCAGATTGTTTATTTGTTGATATCCTGCACTAGCCATAAACCATCAAAAATGAATCACAATGAGCACCATATGTTACTTGAAAATAACATTCATAATGAGCAAATTAATTTTCAAAAGTGCAACCAAAGTAAAAGAATTGAAACTCTAAAGAAACCAATTTCCTCCCGCACAAACACAAAACCTACCAAACCAAAATTTTCTCGCTCTCCAAGCATGGAAAGAAAAGGAAACAAGAGACCAGAGGACAAAAAAAGAAAAGAAACTATTAATTTTGGAAAAAAGATATATAAACTTTATTTCTCACTCTTTATATTGTTATATTTAAAATATTTATAGAATTCCTAATCTACTAATAAAAAAATTTTTATTCTAATATAATTCTAATTATATAAAATTATTATTCTCATAAAATCCTAATTATATCATTTTAACTAATTAAATAATAAACAGAAATAAATTAAATAACAAAATATATTAGTTGATATCTCCCCTCAAATTGGTGCAGAAATATCACATATGCACAACTTGCGGATCAAGTTCTGAAGAGTCTTCCTGCAGTCTACTAGAGGCGTACGCGCGCGGAGGAGTCGAAAAAAGAACCAAAAAAAGTTCATTTTGATTTTGGAGAAAAAATACAAATTTTATTTCTCACTCTTTATATTATTACACTCGGGATACTTATAAAATTCTTAACCTACTAATAAAAAAATTGTTATTTTACTAGAATTCTAACCATATGAAATTATCATTACCGTAAAATTGTAATTATATCATCTTAACCAATTAAATAATAAACTAAAATAATTAAATAATAAAATATATTAGTCAACACCCTCTCTCAAGTTGGTGCAGAGATATCATAAATGTCAAACTTGCAGATCAAGTTCTGAATAGTCATTCTAGAGTCTACTAGAGGCGTATGCAGACGGAGAAGCTAAAAAAAGAATCAAAAAAAGCTGGTCGGAGTAGCTCACGCGCGCAGGAAGTGGAGCTGCACCGGATCGCAAAATAAGAGGTGAATGCACGCGGAAGAGCCAGAAAAAAGACCAAAAAATGGTGGTTGAAACGGCTCTCGTGCAAAGAAGGTCTAGTCACAAAATCATAGGCAGCCCCGTGCAAAGAAACCGGGAAAAGGACCAAAAAAAGCTAGTCAAAGCAGCTTGCGCGCGGAGGAAACAGTTCTATCTGGCCAATCAGGAGCTCGACTCGACTCAGCAAAGCTCGGCTCAAGCAGCAGTTTGGCTTGGCTCAAGCAGTAGCTCGACACAAGCTCGGCTCGTATCGGCTCAAGCGCAAATGACTTGGCTCGACTTAGGCTCGGCTTAGAGAGAGACCGACTCGGCTCATATCGGCTTAGGCACGGATGACTCAGCTCAGCTTAAAAGGTGATCATCTAAGCTCATATAGGCTCAGGTGCAGATGACTCGGCTTGGCTTAGGCTCAACATAGAGGGAAACCGGCCCGGCTCATCACATCTTCTCCAGATAGATTGGATTTTCTTCTGCTACATGCGAGAGTAAAAAAAATAGTTCTTCTCTTTAAATGATTGCCACCTGATCTGTTTGTGCAGGAAGATCACACACAAACTGATCTATTCGTGCAAGGACTTCCGCGCAAATCCGACCACCACGGCTAGTTCTTCTTCTCCGAACAGATGCCCCCCACTCAGAGCTGGCCGCACACCAATCTACCTTCTTCTGCTACCTCCACGAAGTCGTTTGATGCAGATCCGCGTATTTTCCTTCTGATGTCGCGGATCTAGTCACAAGCTTACAAATTGCTAGCTACCACTTTCTTCTGCCAACCGCTGCAACTGTTGCGATCTGACCTGATTC